TTAGAAAGTTAATTTCGGCCGGAATTTGGTAAACAATTTTGTAATGCGGACCAAAATTTCGAAGATCTTCGGCCGTTGCTTAGGATCTGCCGCGCATTTTTTGTGCGGCACCTAGGGTAAATTAGGTACACTAATCTGCGCCAACTAGAAAGTTCCAGTACAAATTACAAATAACTTACACACCCAAATAAGCAGCTATATGTTAGTCTACAGAAAAAGTGAATCAGAAAAGACAAGCTCATTGCAAATGTTGGTTAACAATAATAGTAAAGCAAAAAAGAGCATAGATCAAGACAAACAGACAAATAAAAAGATAGCACATACAATATAAATTATGAAGTCTAATATTAATAAATTATGTTAGAAAATGAGTCATTGCCCACCTCCTTAACTACTGATAATGATTATAATCTTCTTAAAAAGTTTAATGATGCTGTCGCAAATCTTAAATATAATTATTTCTTTGGTTAAATTAGATCGTAAAAATGATAGATGTAGCAGAGACAATTGATGTCAAAAAGGTTTTCGCTAGATAATGATATGAACCCTGATAATAACAATTTATATAAAAAATACATATATAATATTTTGCCCAGTTGATAATTTTACTATAGCTCCTGCTAACCAGTATAGATAATCCTAACCCGACCCTAATCACGATGCATTCCGGCCATTTCGGCCCAGAAATTTAGGGATCCTCCTGTAAAAAATAGATTAGTGCTCTGGTCTTAGACAATTATTTTTCAATCTTACGTTTAATGTGGGAAAATAGAACCTCCGACAAATATTGACAAATAATTATGATAAAACATTTTGAGTTAAAATACATTGTATTTAAGATTATATAATACCGGAAATATAAGATATTGATACTATAATCTTAACCACTACTTCTGTACTTAAACGAAACTAACAATTGTAGAATTGATGTTTATTAATAAGTTTAGTATTCCACCATTCTACAAGCATGTAATTGTGTAAATTGACATAATGTCCATAGTTTACTACGCACTGTGGCTTTAAAGTAAATCAAGCCATGGCTTATATTTGTATCGGATAATACACACAAGCCACCATTTTAAAGCCACAATAGCCGCAATGTAGTGATTTGTCACCGCATAAGTTGCAAACTGTATTCTATACGCACGATTAGTACAATTTCGTGTACTTTCAAAGTTATTAGAGTTTCGATTTGTTGTAATTGAACAGGCTCATACACGATTTTAGTTAACTATCATTTGTTGCACATATGAACAATCGTTTACTGTTAATAAATTTTATGCCTGGTATTATTGGCACAATGCTGGCTAGATATTGTACCCGTTGGGAAAACCTCTACCTGGGTATTATTAACTTACCCGGGTTATCCGGATAAATTACTATGTCACATAATAGCAATTTCTACCCGGGTATAATCCCTAATGCTGACACTAGTGCTGGTGTCAATGCTAGTGCCGATGCCTATATAAGTGCCTACTTATATCGTGCCTGCGTTCCAAATTTTAAAATAAAGTTAGGCCCGTGCCTTAAACATTTTTTTTTTTGTACAAGCATGTGCCGGGTTTGCAAAACCTTAGTATATTAAGCAAAAAATGAAAATTCCGCAATAAACTCAGTGTATAACTAACTTATTTATATCCTGCGATTTAATAGTGGCAGGGTATAAATTATATACATCATTATTTAACTTTATCCATACATATATAATGTAATACACAATATGTAGTATTAATGTAAGAGTAGAAACATAAAACGTTTTTGTTAATGAAATTTGTAATGCTACAAGTATCACATAGTTCATATAGATAAGTCGGAAATAATAAGTTTAGCTTAGTGCATAGCATTGATGAAATGTTTATATATATAGTAATAATCATAATCATATTATATTGTTATCATTATTATTACCACTATGCTTATTTAACATTAGGTCTAAGATTAGAGTGCAAGATGCTGATATCATCCTCACGCGAGATAAATTAAGCTATCACTAATACCCAGGATCCACCCTGGCCACCAATGGTACTAAACACGGTGTCACCAACAGCACTTGGATACAGTATCACCGAAGGCACTAGGCACGGAATCACAGCGGTACTATTACGGCACCGAAAAAAAAACGAAGCATCAAAAGAGACGAGATCGTCACTCTCCACATCCTCAACGGCGAATCTAACAGCAGCGGCCCAATGACGGCGCTAAAAAATGCTAGTTTCAAGAAAACAAAAACATACAAAACAAGAAAGAAAGACTAACAAAAAAAAAAAAATTACATATAGGATGCGCAAAAACATTTTCCCTTTGTAATTACAAAAAGTAACGTTAAACGAAAATTTAACTTCAAACGGCCTAATATGAAAATTAAAATTAATTAATTAGTACAGATTATCATTATTCGGATCAACCCGTTATGGAATTATAGAATTAAAGTTTTATTAATAAAATTGCAGAAGAAATCATTCATAAATGCTTTTCTTGGTAATATGAATAGTAAATAAGCAGCCTATTGAGAAACGCGATGCATGTACGTGTTTAAAAACTAAGGTAGTTTCACCTACAACTTTAATTATGAGTTATATATATCAATATATTGAATTTAAGTTTTTATTGATAAACATTGCTACTGAAAATCGTTCGAGATTTCTTATATATGCTTTAGGTAACATGAAGCTGCCCATTGAGAAACGCGATACATGTACTCATTTAAAAACTAAGCTTTATAATTGGTTGCGAGTTTTAGCCTTGTTAGATTATGAATCGATATATTTGTAAGATTATTATACTTGTACGAAATATAATTTATGTTTTGTTATAATTTGTAAAAAAAAAAAAAATTTACTACAAGCGTTTGAAAAATTCGACAAATTTGGTAATTCTATAGAATAGCGAAGATTTAGAAAACACTAATAAAAATGCTCAGCAAAATAATTGAAATGATAGAATTTAATAAGGAGTTTGAATTCTTTTATAATGTTAATGATCGATTTAAAAAGTTGTTGTATTTTGTTAAAGTACTATTATGTTATGTTATTGTTATTCCTTTTTTATGTAGTCTTCTTGTTTTACTATATATAGCTTTTGTTGCGTTTTTATTGAGGATAGTGTGGATAATTGGTTATGAATTACTATCCATATTTTTCAGATATTGTGATTGGTACGGAATTGGAGTTGAAGATGAACATAAGAAATTCATTTATTATCAAAAGTCAGCAGAGATGGGGAATGCTAGTGCAAAATACAACGTTGGACAATGTTATCGGAATGGAATTGGTGTTGAAAAGGATGAATATAAAGCATTTGAATATTATAATGAATCGGCAAATATGATGCATATTAATGGAACTTATATGGTTGGACATTGTTATCGGAATGGAATTGGAGTTGAAAAAGATGAATATAAAGCATTTGAATATTATAATGAATCGGCAAATATGACTCATATTAATGGAACTTATATGGTTGGACGTTGTTATGATAAAGGGATTGGGGTTGGGAAGGATAAATATAAAGCATTTGAATATTATAAAAAATCAGCGGAGATGGGAAACTTTGGTGGAATATACAAACTTGGTATTTGTTATAGAAATGGATATGGTGTTAAAAGGGACAAACAGAAGGCTGATTGTTGGTTTAGAAAGCATTATAGAAAAATAATGTTTGATCAATTAACCTGGATTTTGTATGAAGATTTTTATCTTATTGAAGAAATTGGAATTGGAGGGTTTGCAAAAGTTTATAAAGCACGTTGGAATATAAAAACTAAAAAAGCTAACATGACAATTAGTGTTGCATTAAAAGAATTTAATGATAATGATTTTTTTGACGAGTTGCTAGCATATAGTAAAATTGGAATCGAGAGCCCTTCATTCTTAAAATGTTATGGTATTTCGAAGAATAGAAATGGAAAATTTGTCCTTGTTTTATCTTATGCTAAAAAAGGTTCTTTAGGAAAAAATATTTGTTCTGTTGCACAAATGAACTGGGATAAAAAACTAAAATTAATACATTGTATGGTTTCTGATCTCAAAGACATTCATTCTAAAGGATATGTCCACAAAGATTTACATAGCGGTAATGTTTTGCAGGATGATATTGATAATGCATATGTTGCGGATTTGGGCCATTCATCATCTATAAATGATGAAAGTGGATGTGTTTTTGGCGTCTTACCTTATGTAGCTCCAGAGGTTTTATTAGGAAAATCATTCACACGATCTGCTGATATCTATAGTCTCGGAATAATTTTATGGGAGATTTCTACTGGTCAAAGACCTTATGACGGTAAACCATTTGATCACGAGCTTGCGATAGGGATTTGTCTTGGATCATCACGACTCGAATTCGATTCCAGTACTCCAGACTGTTACATCGATTTAGCCATGCGATGTATGGATTTGGATCCACAAAAACGACCTAAAGCTTCGTTTATATTAGAAACACTTGATAAATGGGTTGAGAGTTGTGAAGACTCGGCTTGCATAGATGAAATCAAAAACCAATTTTTAGAAGCTGATAAAAATAAAGAATCTTTGAACATCACGCAAAAACATTCAAATCAAGTGTACACGAGTAAGATTATAAACCCACGGGAGATATCAGAAATATTTATTAGTAACAAAATCGATGCGAAAGATATTTCTAACAATTTTTGTTGAATTATGATTTAATTCGAAATTAATTATATTTTGCAGAATTGCTATTGCTTTTATTATAATAAACAAGGTTCAAGGATTTATTGAAGGTGGTTTTGTTTTTTATATTATAGTTATATAAAAAATTTTATTTGTTACCAAGTTATAGAAATTTTTGTACATAGCTAATCTTTAATTTTAATATCTTGATAAATTTATATTGATGACTTGTTTATTGCGGTCTGCAAAATTATGTGAAATAAAGAAAAGAAATCGATGATTTCTGATTTCCGATTTCTTTAACATCTGATGACGTATGTATATCAACTAATATTTATACTATATAACTAGCAATGTGTTGTACGGGCGACTTCGTCGCCCGGTTGTGGCTTTGAGTGAATAGAAGATTTAGTATATAGCA